TTTTGTTTGTTGTTACTGTGTTTTAGCATTTTTTTAATTCTTTTTTCAAATATTGACAGCTCTCTGTTTTAAAAGGTGTGGATCATGCAGCATTTGGCAAAAAGAATAATTTTTAAAGTGTTCTTTGGAAATTAATAAGGTCTAAAAAAGTTAAAGTCTAACATTTGAATTCATACAAATAATTGCTCAGTTTTATTCAGATATGAGTGTCTATATATGTAAGCCTGGAATCTGCAAACAGATGTATGATATGACTTAATCCTTTCTAACTCCTTTCAGGGACACATGCATACGAGTGTTAAAAATACAGGGAAGCATAGTAACTGATAGGAGTTTTGGATAAAGCTCTGCAAAATCAGAAGTGAAACAATGCAGATTATATGCACTACTTAAATATTGCAATACAAGAACATGATGTACTCTGTCAGGCATCAGTTTGAAAGTCTTCACAGTGCTTTTATTTTCCTTTTGATAACATGGTCCCATAGAAAAAGTACTCAGGAGAAACAAAGATAATGTCTTGCTGTATCACTTACCTCTGATATTCCCATGGAGCATTTCTTTTTTGCCTCAGGCCCCATGTGAAATGAAAGTACTGGTACTAATCTTCTATCACAAGCTTCTGCTGAAGAGATTTTATTTTTCTCAATTGTATGTTTAACATAACTTCCTGAGGAAACTCCTAAACCTGGCTCCAATCCAATATCTACATACCAGAAAGCCCCATCATCTTTCAGAGCCCAGAGCCTGGCCTGGAAACCACAGGCTTTTCACTTAACTCCATGTCTTGTAGAGGGTTTAACCCTTCAGAGCAAAGCACTGCTCATTAACAACTGGTCAAGGTAAAATTTCAAGAGCAAACTTATTAACTGATCAGTTAAGGAGACACAAAGTTCCCAACTCGAAATGCCTTCTTGGCGGTGCTATTGTCAGTGACGGAGCAGAACGACTGACTGTTTTATTTTTTGAAATCCACTAAGTGTTTGCAGTTCACTTTGATTTGTTGTCAGTATGCCCTTGTTTCACTATGTCCCTTCTCTTTTTGATCATAATCAGGTGTCTGGTGGATTTGGCTTTTCATTGTCTTAGCTATGGTAATTGCCTTAGATAATTGCCCTATGATATTTTTTTTGGATGACTCTTTGGGATAGGCGTGATTGTCCTGACTCAGCTTGATGAAGGGTATTAACCCACTCTTCTGTGTGTAAAGAAGTGAAGAACTGACACTTCCAAAGGGAAAGTAAGAGAGTTCCAATATAGTATCATGTTATTCAGACATTTCTTTGTGAAAACTAACTAAAAAGCAAAAAGGAGACTTTGTCAAACGATAGTATGAGAAAAGCATGATGTCAGATAGCAATGAACACAGATACTCATATTTGCATGATGTCAGCAATGAACACAGATACTCATATGTGCAATGTGGTCATTTTTCACCCAATAATACCTGCAAGAATCCCCTCTGCAGTTGATATCCAAGTTGAGCATTACATTACTGGAGAATCCCTTTTGTAAATCTTTAACTTACCATCAGAATATTTTGCAACAGTAATTTGTATGTGTTGCATTTAATGCGTGTTCTATAGACATCAGTAAAGAGGAATTTTAAAGGCAACATCATGGGGCAATGTATTTACACTATTTAATTACGTGGACAGAGGTCCTCAACATGTTATGGAAACAAAGTTTGCTCTTCAGAGGAGTTACGAGCTTGAAGTAATTATTTCCTTGTGAAAAATTTCAGATTTTATGATTTTTTTTCACAGAAAAATCCATAGTTTTTTTTAGACAAATGTTGCCTAATATAACTGATTAAAGCAGAATTTTGTAAAGTTTCTTTTCTTAAAGGCTACTTTTTATCTTGCATAGTTGTCTTTTCATATAGTTTTCCAGACACTTCTGAAATCTATAGCATCTATGGTTACATAGTTAAAATGATATATTTGTAATATTTTCAATCAGTTCATAAGATTATATTTCATTTTGGAAGTAAAAGGATCGTGGCCAGTATGGCAGCAGACTTCATAAATTGCCCATGACAAGGTCTGATGGGATACACATGTTTTTGGTCACAAGTTTATGGTCTTGGCAGTAGGTAGTGAATCTAGATGACTGTGACATGTGTGTTTTATCTTTTATATGCAACTTCAAATGTGACAAACAAAAAGCAAAGATGCTTTTCTGCCCAAAAAGAAAGAGTCCTCCAAAAATTCTGCAAAATGTTAGTAATTCCTAATGTTGATGTAGCAGTGATGAGAGAGATTTGTCTTAATTGTTCAAGCTGGAGCAAAGATAGAGGCAAGTTAATTTGTTACTTCTTTGTTGGACTTTCCAGCTAAATACAGAAGTGATTATTTGCGTGCTTCATTTTTTTGACCACTTAAGGCTTCAGAAATTTCTGTACTACTGTGGCAGTGAGTTTTGTACCATTACAGGCTCTTATGTTTTCACATTAATCTCATGTTTGGTTTTCTTTCCTCTAATGCCTGAGATCCAGAAAAGATGGGATTTCTGGAAGTGCTTTATCTTTAGCTAGATTGCTAATCTTCGTGTGGAGAAAATATTAAAAGTCAAATCTTAAAAATCTTACTGACTTTCTCAAGGTCCCCTCTAAATTGAGAATCCAAAGCTAAAATCAGCATGTATGTTGTGCTTGTGCCACAATTTGCTGTGTAAGCTTTCCAGTGCTAAGACTTGCTTTCTTAATGACTTAACATCTGAGCAATTATGAAAAAACTTCCAAAAAATAAGCACGTGGTCCTAAGCTGTAGACTTATTTGAAGTCCTATGTGTTCATTCAGGGAACAAAGACATTAAAGGACAAAACCTGATTTAAAGTGGATGGATGATATCGGTTAATGTGCTGTGCTTTTAAGAATACTGTCTGGGCCCAGTTTTTTGTCAGTTAATTGGAATCACAGGGCTGTAATGTACTGCTGAGCACCAAGCATCTCCAGCAATGTTAGGCATGTGCTTTGGCATCATTTCATATGCAAAGTAATTAACCAGAAACTTCCAACTACTAAGTTGTATTATCCAACTGCCATACCCAGTCTCTCTATTTGTTTCTGAAACAAAAGTTTCAGATTAGTTGGATGTATGGGTGGCAGCACATGCTATGTTTAAATACTGGAAAGTGCTCTTGAACTAATGTGAGTGACTGCACAGCAAAACATTTTTAGTGAAAAAAAGATTATTCTTAAGAGATCTGTGATTAACACTTGGCCTAAAACATTAAGCTAGAAATGTGGGAATAGACAATTCAGACTCAAGTGTCTGGAGTTTTATTTTGGCTTGAAAGAAGATTATTGTATGGTTGCTACTTATAAATCGTTGTACTGTTCTTTGTATTATTTCCATACAAACATTTGTGTGTAGTGTTTATAATAGTAGTACCAGTTTGCTTGCGTATGTCTACTTGGCTGCTAAAATAAGTAGATCTCATGTTACACTCTTTTTATTTTAGCATTTATTATTTTTCTGAATTATAGCTTAAACCACAGGCTTCCTTATCCAGCAGCACTTAATAAGAGGAGAAAAAAAAATTTCTTCCGGTTACTTTCTTGGTAGGTCTTTACAGTTTCCAAAACATTATATAGGTTTGCTAATGATGGATCAACCATCAAGCAAAAGGTATTCTAGCTGTTTTTATTAATCCCAGTATATGTTCAAGTACTTGGGAAATTGCTGATTTGAAATGTATACAGGATAACAAGCCTCAAGTTCTGCTTTCATGAAGAAATGGTAATATCACAAAATATTTTAATATAAGCCTATATAGTTTTAGTGTAAATGAGTAAAAGGTTTTGTTTAAAAAAAACCCAAAGATAAACTTAATAGTTTTAGGAGTTCATAAGGTTTTAATGCATATGACACTATTAAAGCACACAAACAGGAACTGTCATTGGAAGAAATGTGTGATCAAATTATTATGGTTTCATAATTTATAAACTAATTTATTTCATGCCTTATGCTTTTCATACTACTGTATCAGATTAATGAAATGTCTAATGTTTGTGAGACATGACTGCATGTAGGTATGGTAAATATGATCATGTCTATTGGCCAGTTGTTGCCATCATCTGATAAATTTACCAAATAAGTAAAATATATTCCCCAGACTATTGTGTTTTAAAGGAATGAACTGTTCAGGGAAAGTCAGGGCAAGGATTATCTCCAATTTTCGGGTGATAAAGCTGTTCTGAATTTTTAAGTGTCTGCATGCTTGTTCTTAATGTCTGAATTTGGTGAGAGTTATTTTCCAGTACTATGAGTATTGTAGCTTTACAGAATGTTAGGAGATTTTAAAATACTGAGCTAGTTTGTTGCAACAATGTGCATCAAAGAAAGCCAAGTGGATTTTGAGGCTTCAAATCTGGTTGCCTTTTCATCTTGTGAAAGTCCTAGATATTCAGTAACATGGAATAATTTTTAAATCTACCTTCCTCCAAGGTAGTTATTCATTAGTAAGAACAGTGAAACTAAATGAAAACTGTGACGTGATACCATATTAGAGTTGTTATTCTTGACTCCTGTTTGATAGCTTAAAGATGAAGCTGACTGCAGAATGTTCCTGAAGTATATTATGCAGCTGTTGTGAAGGCTGGTCTATTTGAGACCATTTACTTTGAATAAAATACCTTCAGTTAATTCGAATATAGCGAAATATGATCCAGAATCTTTTGTGTTATGAGAGGTGATAGTTAAAAATTCTGATTTTCCTTTTAAAAGAAAAAAAAGAAGATAGGCTGGTGCATTATATTAATTAATAAAATTTTAATATTGCATTCAGTCAGACAATTGATCATCATTTGAAACAATTTTTTATGACAATTCTCTAAAAACATACAATATTATTCTACTAGGTTTGAACCACTCTCTTCCACCTTCTCACTCCCTCCTCCATTTCTGTTGCATGACCTGCTAATGATGAATCAGAGCAGCACCCAGTTAAAATGGTCTGAAGGAGAGTGTGTCAGGACAGGGTAAATGGGGTGTTGTTAGATATGAGCAAACAGGAAACCTGAGAAAGAAGAGTGAACATAGTCAGAGGAGTAGAGACCATTAGATTCTGAGTTGGGCAGTTGGAGCCATACTTGGTCATTCTCCATGAGATCAATGACAGCACTGCCAGAAGCCTGGTCAAGGTATCCTTTCTTGTACTCATCATAGGTGTACATGAGTGGGGAACCATTTTTGTAGAGTGCAACCCAAACGTTTGTTCCTTTTGAGTGTACATGGTAGGAGAAATAGTACAGTCCAGGGGTCCTGCAGGTGAAGATGCCTGTTCTGGGGTCATAGTGTTGCTGCCTATTGTACAAGATTTTATCAAACTTGATGGGGACTGTGGCTGCAGGGTAGGCTTTCGAGAGGATGACACTGAAAGCAGACACTGGCATCCCTGTAAGAGCTTGGTTTACTCCTCCTTTTATGAAAGACATTCCCGACAGCTCCCGAGACTCTCCTGCTTTAACGTAGCCTTCGGGCATCTGTGGGATTGCAGCTTGACCAGGAGGACCGGGGGGCCCTGGGGGTCCTGGCAAGCCTGGCTCACCACTGCTGCCTTTTGGGCCAGGGGGTCCGGGGGGTCCCATGGGGCCGCTCAATTCGTAGAAATGCCTGCCGGTCCCGGCAGTCCTGGTGCTCCTGGCTCGCCTTTGGCACCGGGGGCTCCTGGCAGGCCAGGGGGGCCAATGGGGCCTCTGATCCCAGGTATTCCTGAAGGCCCTCTGGCGCCTGGCTCGCCGTTGATCCCTGGCACTCCCTTGGGTCCCTGTGGACCCATTGGACCAGGCAGCCCGGGGAGCCCAGCGTGGCCAATGTCACCTTTCGCGCCCGGGAAACCTGGGTGTCCCTTGGGACCAGCAACACCCTGC